GGGTATCATGGATACCTAAAACTAGGTGAAAATGGAGTTTAATTAGAGTTATAATTGATGTTAATGTTATAGATTAAATATTGATCGAGCCCCGTTGAACTAGTGGACCTTTGTGAAGTTGAAAAATTTGTCATGATAATCCTTTTTGTGACAAAAAGATTAAGGTAGTCAGATGCTCTAAACTTATTATTTGAGTGTTTAGATGGTTGTGTGGAACTGCAAAAATTACTCTATTATTGTTTGAAACTAGTATATTATTAATATGTATAGTAATTGAAATTTAAAAATATTTTTAGGGATTTGAAAGGGATTTATGCCAAAATCATAAGTGTACATACTTGTGAAATTGTATGATTTGTTATGGTAATGATTTTTTTTGGAATAATTCACATGTGTGTGGTTATATGAATGGAAATATATAAGCATGGTCATTGTAAGAGGGTGAGAGTTCACTTTAAAGTTGTCAGGGGTTATTGTATAAAATTCATATACTATACTAGTACCATAAAGGCTCCAGTGTACAATTCTATTCTTGTTTGAAAGTTTCAATACTATTTGAGATAGATTGAGCATATGACACCTTAGGTATTCAAAGAAAGGGAGAATCTATCGTCCATAATGGGTAAAGGAACCTTTAACCAAGGCTATCTTTCATAATTGGTGAACTTAAGCCAATCCAGTCACATGAACTTGGTTCTATTAAATTGTTAACTCACAAATTTAGTTGGAGAAATAAGAAGGATATAAGATGGTGTGTTGATCATGTATTTGTTAAAATTGTAAAACCAAGTCCATGTGTATAATTGATAATTGAATCACACATTTTTGTGCCACTTCACATACACATATGTTGTTCTTATATGTGAATAGTTATATTAGATTATTTGGTTATTGAGTTATTGACTGACCCCCAAGGTTATATTTTTATATGTGAAGGCTCCAATAGGGGCAAAAGGAAGGAAGCCGTCATTGAAATTTGAAAACATTGTGTTTGTATAGTCCTCTCTCTCTCACTCTCTTGATAGTTGTAACAAATGATTTGTATTAATATGCCAACTTAGGAACATATATGTTTTTGATGTACTTGCATGAGAATATTTGAATTATGGGTATCTCAACTTGTATTAATGTAATTGTGATGAGATTGATGTAAGGAGCCGAATACTTGTACAAGTGATGCTATTGTGTTATCTGTGTGTTTGAATGGCCAAAATGATTGATATATGTGATTTATAGTCACCTGTTGATTGATTGTGAAATTAAGGTTTCAATGGCCATTTTATGTTTGGGATGTAATTGTTATCGTATAATTGCTTAATTAGGTTGATTATAGTCTATTTGAGTTAGTTCAAGTGATTCTAGGGATATTAGTACTGGGTTAGTGGATTTGGACACCCTTGAGGTTGTTTTGAAAGGGAAAAGGATAATTTTGTATCTGAGTGTCTAACTTTTAAATGGTAAAGTGTTTGGTTGTGAAATTAATACCAATAGCTAGGTGGCTCAGAAAACTATATGTGAATACTTGAATCGCTCAAATCGAACATTAACTTGCTTTAAAAGTTAGTCCCAGAGTGCTATTATGACAATAAGGGTGCACCACGGCATACTGCATGATGAGGGAATTGACCCCTCTATGCCATCTACCGTGGTGAATGACACATGCACCGTGGTAGATGTGGTCATGTGGCATTTTAGAAGATGGCCATTTTGTCCCATGTCAATGTTTGGATGTGCTCTAGTTCACTCTTATACTTCCGTATTTCTTTTTACTTGTTTTAAATTAAGGTTTGAGCTCAAAACATCATTTTAAAAAGTTTTTTTTAGATCCTAAATCTTTTAAGCTTGATTTTTTAAATCCTTATAGTACCATAACCTTATATAGGAAATTAATTAATCCTAATAATCATAATGGTGTTATCTATTTATGTATTATGTTTTAGTAATGTCAAGGTGGACATTATAGTGGGCATGATTTATAACCATTAGATTGATAAAAATGAGACTCAATAACTCCAAAATATCAAAATTTCATGCTCTACAATCACAGCCCTCTCATTCACATTTTTCACTCATCTTCCACCTTTATTCATCTTTATCTTTTCTCTCAAGAACACCCATGAACCCATGAACCTCTTCTACCATTTCTCTACCTTAAAACCATCTATTTCACCATCCAAACCCACCATTCAACTCCCCTAATAATCTACATCATAACCCATTAAAAAAAATCCATCATCCACTCCATTTTCATATTGACCAAATTTTAATATCTTCATCCATGGTGATTTCTAAAGTTTATCAACAAGGAGAGGCTATGGAGATAGTAATGAGGAGTAGTTAAACTTATCTTCTATTCCTAGGATGCATTGATGAACTCTCTTTGAGCTTTTAAATTTTGAAAGTTTCTCTTATCTCTTACCCATTATTTAATTCCTTGAATTTTGATACTTATGACATTATAGTGACAACGGTTATTGGAATTGAAATTTATGATACTTGGTTGAGTATTATATGAGGTTATTATGTTATTTATTTTCCAATTGAAGTCCTATTATAGTGATTTTGGTGTTGTCCAAAACTTTATACTAATTTATTCAATTTCTTATTGCATTTAATGTTTAGTTACTTTTCGTGAGCTTGTGAGTTATGATTGTTCATTAAGCACACTTAAGGTTAGCTAATTATTTTTTTAATCAATTTGAGGCCTCATTTTATTAAGGAAAAAGCTAAAATTGGTAATTAAATTTATAATCAATTGGTCATTTTTAAATATAATTAATTCTAAGGGTTAATTTATGGTCTTAGTTCATCTAAAGAACTTTAGAGTGCTAATTCCTAGTAGTTATTAGGATAACTTTAAAACTAATTGGGCCTAAGAGAAAATAAATTAGATAGACACTACTACAAAAATTTAGATATATAACAGCATTTATTCAATAGTTATAATAAAAAATGTTATATATTGGGAGGCGGGAAAGAGAAAATGACATATTAAACGGTTATGTAAAAAATTGTTTAATATTCCATGATAATATTCAACGGTTTATTAATATAACTGTTGAGTATATAAGGATATTACACTCCACCTCTTACTCAACAGTTAAAATTTAAAAACTGTTGAGTATTGATTTAAATACTAAACAGTTTTTAAAATTAAACCATTGAATATATATACTACTTGGGTCAATTCATTTTTATTTTTTTAATATCTTGATACTCAACATTTATTTGGATTTAAACATTGATTATATATATATATATGTATGTATGTATAGCAAAATAATATATTATATATATTATTCAAATTTATTTTTTAGCAAAATAATATATATATATAATATATATATATAATATATATATATATATATTATATTACCCAACGGTTATGTCAAATAACCGTTGAGTATTTGATATTAATACTCAACAATTTGACATTCAACCGTTGGGTATATCAATATATTCAACGGTTAGAAATATCTAACCGTTGAATATATTGATTTCTAAAGCTTCTTCCCTCCGTCAGTGAAAATGAAAAGCTATCACAAGGATGCGCGCGAGAGTGAGATAAGAGCAAAGCAAACCCATTTCTTCCAAGACTCATATCCAGCCAACACTCATTTCCTCTAAGTATCAGCACAGTTGCAAGCAAAGAGAGTCAAAGAGCCATTTTCGGTCAGTAACAGCCGCAACCCATTTCCTCTATTTTCCTCTTCCTCAGAGACCCATTTTCAGCTAAACCCTGTTCCTTTTCCTCTTCCTCGTTAGCTCCTTTTCGTCTTGCTCTTCCTCTTGCTCTTCCTATTTCTCTTCTCAAGAGTAGGTGAGATACGTTTATTCTCGCTCTCACAATCGACCAGCCCTCAATCCTCCTAGTCAGCCATCTGCCCCTGAAGTTGTCACTATCTCATCCTTTCTTCTATCAAGAGCAGCCTCACACTATTATTTTGTGATTTTTAAGGTATTTCTCTATCTCATTTGCTATCTCATTGTGTAGAGGAAGCTTCTGAGGTTGATAACGTTGATTTTTTAACTTAGAATTTAGATTAGCTAACTAGATTGGTTTGAGTTTGTGACAATTTGCTGGGCTATGTTGAGATTTAATTGTGATATTTTGTTGATTGATTTTATTGTTTCATGCCCCTAGTAGTTTGTTTCTACGAAAGACAAGAGAAGATCAGAGTGTTTGGTTAGCTTTTAATTATTTAAATTTGGTTTAATATATAGTGGGGCAACCTTGAATAAAATTTAGTAAACATGTTTTTCATTTACATAAACTAATTTTTTAAGATATTTAGTTTTGCACAAAATTTAGTAAACATGTTTTTAAGATAAACTAATTTTTTTAAATATATGGTTAGCTTGTGATTATTGAATATTCAGTTCAATGTGTGCTAGGTTGTGATTATTTAGTTTATTAAGATAAATTAATTTTTTATTAACAATAAGATATATGTCTTGACTTAGTAGACATGTTCCTTGTCACTTTTACCCAATGCTTTTCAATTTGTTCTTAAATATTGTATTTTTCTAGTTATTTGATTCCTTTTTTCCCCCTATTGAGCTTGGAAACTGGACTTATTTCTTTATATATTATAGTTATTATATTACATGGTTGCTTAACCTTTTAGTTGTAGTAGTATTTTATTCTAAAATTGACCTAAGATTGATCTATGTATATGTTGATTTGAAATTTTTGTTATTTTAATATTGGATTTGTGAAAAGAGGGCATTAAGCCTGGGAAGTGCTCAATTTCATGCCATTATGCTGCCGAAATTTTTTTAAATTTTTATTTTACGATTATTTAGAACAAGTTTGAGCTTTCTTTGACGTAGTTTAACATTTAGTTTGATTAAATTAGTATAAATAGAGAATAAGGCTTGAGGAACATTGAATTTAAGCCGCCATGCTGTTAAAATTGTCTAAATTTTTAAAATAATCAACTTATACTTACTGAATGCTTTTCCATCTTTATTCTCTTACTTAAACAAGGGCATTAATTATGGATAAAGAGTGGATGTCTGCTAATCGTCTATCCAAAAAATATTGGGATGGGGTGGCAGACTTTATTAAGTTTGCAGTAAATAATGCAGAAGACTGCAGGCGAATTGTTTGCCCTTATTTAAGCTGTGGTAATGTGAAGTCAGTTTCTCCTGAAACATGTGAACTTCACTTATTTAAGTATGGAATTGATCAAAGTTATAAATGTTGGGTAAAACATGGAGAGATACCTGAAGATGTGAATAATAGTAGCTGGGCATATATGAAAAGTTGTTCATCATCACCAAATTCTGACACAAGTGCATATAAGGCTGACTGCTGTTTTGAAGAATTAGCTAATGAGATGGAAGGGGAACTCAAAAATTTTCTAGAGAAATTGAAGAAGTTGAAAATTGATGTGGAGACACCTTTGTATGAGGGTTGTACTGAGTTCACTTTATTGTCCGCTGTGTTAGAATTGTATAACTTGAAAGCTACAAGTGGGTGGAGTGATACTAGCTTCTCAAGCTTGCTCTCTCTAATCAGACTAATGCTACCAAAGAATAACAAGCTTCTAAGTCAGCTATATGATGCAAAGAAGGTGTTACGCACAGTTGGCCTGAGTTATAAGAAGATACATACTTGCCCTAATGATTGCATCTTGTTTAGGAATGAATACGAAGAGCTAACCCACTGTCCTAAGTGTGAGGCATCACATTATATGAAGAATGGGAAGAGTCCAAAGAAGGCGATATGGTATTTTCCTATTATTCCAAGATTCAGACGCTTGTATAGCATACGTCAAGAGGCAAAGAATCTAACATGGCATGCACATGGGAGAATTAAAGATGACAAGGTTCGGCATCCAGCTGATTCTCCTGAATGGACAAGGTTCGATTGGAAGTACCCTGAGTTTGGAAAAGAAGATAGGAATTTATGTCTCGCATTGTCTACCGATGGGATGAACCCGCATGGAATGCAGAGTAGTACCTACAGTACATGGCCTGTGATGATGGTCATTTATAACTTTCCTCATTGGCTTTGCATGAAGCGAAAGTATATTATGTTGTCCTTGCTAATCTCGGGGCCAAAGCATCCCGGAAATGATATAGATGTTTATTTGGAACCACTTATTGAAGACTTGAAGCTAATGTGGGAAACAGGTGTAGAGGTATATGATGCCTACAGAGAAGAGATATTCAATTTGAGAGCTATGCTTTTTGGTACAATTAATGACTTTCTGGCGTATGGTAATCTATCAGGATATAGCATTAAAGGACAACTTGGATGCCTTATTTGTGAAGAAGGCACACATTCAATGAAGTTGCAATATGGTATGAAGAATGTGTACCTTAGGCATCGCAGATGGTTGGGTGACAAGCATCGATATCATCGTTGGAAAAAATCATTTGATGGGAAATCAGAAGAAAGAAGGCCACCAAAGCAATTGACTAGTGAGGAACTATTTGAGAAGGTAAAAGATGTTGATATTGAATTTGGTAAACCGTTTGTGAAGCATGTTAGAACAAATGGGTGGAAGAAAATGTCTATATTCTTTGAGTTGCCATATTGGAAGACCTTAAATGTCAGACACTTCCTTGATTTAATGCATATTGAGAAAAATGTTTGTGATAGTCTTATTGAAACATTGCTTAATATTCCAGGAAAGATCAAGGATGGCATTAATGCAAGGTTAGACATGGTTGCGATGGGGATAAGAGAAGAATTGGCACCACAAGGGAAAGGAACTCGTACATTTCTTCATGCTGCGGCTCACACACTGTCTAGAAAAGAAAAGAAAAGTTTCTGTGAGTTTCTTGTTGCAATTAAGATTCCAAATGGGTACTCTTCAAATGTTAGGAATCTTATTTCAATGAAGGATCTAAAGCTGAAGGGTTTAAAGACTCATGATTGTCATGTTTTGATGGAGAATTTTATTCCAGTGGCTATACGTGGTATTTTACCTGATAATGTGTGAGCTATAATTACAAAGTTATGCTACCTCTTCAAGTGTCTCTGTAGTAAAGTAATTAACCCCAACAAGTTGCCAAAGTTGCAAAGTCAAATTGTGCAAACATTGTGTGAGATGGAGATGTTTTTCCCTCTTGCATTCTTTGATATAATGGTCCACCTAACAGTTCATTTAGTTAGAGAGGTACAATTATGTGGTCCTCCTTATTTGAGATGGATGTATCCATTTGAGCGTCACATGAAAGTATTGAAAGGTTATGTTAAAAGTCGAAGTCGACCAGAAGGTTGCATTGTTGAACAATATATTAGTGAAGAGGCTATTTACTTTTGCAGTCAATACTTAAAGAATTCAAGGGTTATTGGTGAAGAAGGTATAGAAAGGACAACAAGAAGAAAAGTTATCACTATCTCAAGTGACCAGTGAGAAAAATACACCTTTTTGTGCTATACAACTCTCTAGAGGTTGATGAGTATGCTAAGATTCACCAGGCAGAGCTTAAGAGGCAAAGCCCTTATCGATTAGATAGTTGGATCACCAAACTACATAATAAACAATTTATACGCTGGTTGAAAGAGCATATAAAAGGGAAGTATAATGCTGATCCTAATTCAGTTCCTGATAGACTGAGATGGTTATCACTAGGACCGAACAAACATGTCCTCTCTTACGCAAGCTATATCATCAATGGGTACAAGTTCTATACAAAGGAACACGACGATCGAAGCATGATGCAAAATAGTGGTGTATCTACTATAGCTGATGGCATGTACATTTCCAGTGCGAAAGATAAAAAACCCATCTTTGCTAGAATGCGTTACTTCGAGATAATTGAGCATATTTAGGAGTTGGATTATATCTCCTTTTGAGTTCTAGTCTTTGGTTGCAAGTGGGTTGAAAATAATAATGGGTTAGATGTTGATGACTTTGGGTTGATTAGAGTGAATCTAAAGAAGGAAGGGTATAAAGAAGATCCTTTCATTTATCCATCTCAAGCCAAACAAGTTTTTTATGTCAATGATCCTGCTGATAAGGAATGGTCTGTTATTTTGTGGAGTAACAAGGAAGTTGAAGAAATGAAAGCTGTAGAAAGTAATGAAAATGAGCAAAACAGAAAAAATGATAAAGTTGATATTAATCCGTTTCATGGGATGTCATTCGAAAATGATGATGGCTTAGACAATATTGAAGATAGTGCTTTCTACGTAAGACATGATCACAATGAGGGCATTTGGATTTCTAAGAAGGGGAAATCAATTCAACTGAAGAAGAAAACTGTTTAAGTTAAGAAAGAATTAGTTAAAAAAGTAATTAGGACAAAAAAAAGGAAAAGAACGAAATAAATAGGTAAATTACTATTTTTAACTTACTTTTTTGATATTTTTTATTTAATCTTGTTAAGATGTTACTCTTGTTTGAATTATTATTGTTTTATTTAATCTTAATTATTGATGTCTTCACAGGTAAATGGCTACTAAGGGTGATCGTCTAGATACTGGATCTAAATCTAGTAGTCCTAGTAAGCAAAATGATGATAGCGGGCAAAATGTGACTAATAAGGAGGAAGAATAACTAAAGAAGGGGTTGGTTGTGATGGAGCAGGTGACAAAAGCAAGAAATGAAGGCAAGAAGTTTACTGTCAAGTGAAATAATAAAAATCAAGTAGTTGACAGTAATAATTTCATCAGTTATATCGGGGTGGCGGTGAAGTCCTGTGTGCCTATCAATTTAAAGTCATGGAAGAATGCAACTCCCGCAATGAGGGATGCTGTATGGAATACTATAACAGTAAGATATTATCACTTTGATTATTATTTTAAACTTGTTTATGATATATATTCTTCTTACAAGTTGACTTGTTTATTTTGCAGTCAGGATTTGAGATTGAGGAAAGGCGTAAGAAGTATGTCCTACAAAATGCTGGGGCAGCCCTTCGAGCATTTAGAAGTTTTGTCTCTCATAAATTCTTGCAGAACCCCAATATAGAGGGCATTGAAGACACAGTTCCTCCCCTTATTAGGCTAATTGTAAATTTGAATGAATGGAAAGATTTTGTTGACTCACGCCGTAGTCCAGAGTTTAAGCTATTATTTTTGTTATTCTATCAAAATTTTATTACTTTTGTTGGCATTTATTTTAACTTATTTATCATGTTTTGTGTTTTTAAAGGCATTAAGCACCAAAAACAAAGAGTTGGCAAAGAAGAATGAATACACTTATAAGGCTGGGCGTAAAGGGTATGCGGGTGTTGAAAAGGCCTTGATTAAAAAAGAGCAGGTGTCAGAGGGTTCTATATCTCGTGGTACAATTTGGGCCGAGGCTCGAAAAAACAAACAAGGCAATATTGATAATCCAAAAACAAAGGCGATTGTTGACACAATAGTAAGTATTAATAATATAATGTTATTAATTATTTATTTTTACTCATTTACCTTACTTTTATTGCTTCACAGGAGAGCTTGACTCAGGAGGCATCAGCAGGCACTCTTACTGCTGATGAGGATATCTTGGAGAAGGCATTGGGGAATATTGACCATCTTGGTCGTGTTCGAGGCGTCGGCTTTGGTGTCACAAAGAAAGAATACTTTAGAGAGGGGTACAAGCGTTATAAAAAGACTGCTTCTTCTGCTGAGGTTCAAGAACTGAGGCAAGAGCTAGCAGAACAGAAGCAACAGATACAAGCACAGTCACAGTAGATACAAGAGCAATCTAGACTTATTGACATGCTGTTGAATCAGCATAAGTTAGGGCTTCCATTGAGTGACGCTAGCCCTAGTATAAATGACAGTTGCACAATCCCATCTCAGCTCCTACCTGAGGTAATATTATTAATTTTCCTAGCCTTATTCATGATAATATTATTCATATTATGTAATGATTTTGTCTTTTTAGGGTGAGGCTGATGTTGATTGTTTGGGAGAGGATGGTAGTTTGGTTGCACTGGGACGAATGTACAATATTACTGGCCAAATCATGCTTCACAACGAGATTCTCCCTGAAGGGACAGTCAAGATTTCTTTGAAGATGGCTGAAAAGCCTAATTATGATCTACCTCACCCCACTAAAGATGCAAGGACAGTAGTAGATGCAATTGGAAGCTTTGTAGCATGGCCGGTTCGTCTTATATGTATTTCAGTGCCGTCCCTAAAGGTATAACATCTAAATTCATAATTGAAATTTATTTGTAGTTGATCTCTAACTATGTGTGTGTGTGAGAGAGAAAAACTAGCCTGTTAATAAGCCTGTGGCCAAGAAAACACTAGAGGTTATGAAGGTATCGGCAAATAATAAGCGAAAGAGGGGAAATGATAAGAACTCTGTTGAAAAATCCAAGGAGTCCATCACATTTCTCAAGAATGCACCGAAGGTTCTCCCTCAAACCCATGTGCCTAAAGCCTCTCAATCAACACCTCAGCGTCAACTAGTCACACCCAACAAACACCGAAAGTTGCTTAAGACTTATGCAGAGATGCAAGAAGGAGTAATGCTCCCTTTCCCTACAACAATGTATGGAGATCCAGAGTCTGTCGATCAAGTCAACAATGAGGTTTTGAGTGACTTATTCAACCATACACAGGCTACTACTACTTTGTATAACTTATATATGAGGTATATTTCTAAAACCTTGTATTAAATATTTACCAATATCTATATTTTAGTCATTTATTGGTCAATTTATGTTGACATTATTTAAGAAACTTGTACATCACCATGCTTGTCGGGAGAGATGTAGCGAAGAGGGTTATACTCGTCAATCCCCACTTGGTCTCCACGAGACAATAAGTCCTAAGCAAGGATTAGAAATAGCTCAGAAGCTTTCTGAATACTTCGAGCAACGTGGCGCTAATAAGAACAAATATTTATGGCACCTTATTGTGAAGGGTAAATCATTTTACGATACTTTACTTTCTTCAAAATTAAATTATGACACTTCCTAATTATAATCATTATCATAGGGGGCATTGGATGATACTTGTGATCAATCCAACTATAGGGAGAGTATGGTATCTCGACCCTATTAGAGGTGGTGATCTTACCAACAAACCGCATATAGTAGAGATGATTAATCAGTAAGTTCACTAAGTTTTGTGCATATATATGTGTGCGTGCGTGTGCGTGTGTGTGTGTGTGTAATTCGTTCTTTTTATATGCATATTTCTCACATCAACTTTTCTGTTGCATGTTAGAGCCATTGTCATGTACCGCACTAAGGTCAATCAGCAATCTTGACAACTAATAATGGGTAGCGGTCGCCTTGATAAAGCAACATCATGGACAATTATCAAGGTATATGTATTTATTATTTATAGTGTATTTACTACATAAAATATAAGTTATATCATGTCATTAACTGATCATATTTTTTTATCCAATGTGTGATCGTAGTGCCCGAAACAACATGACAAACTAGGAATTGTGGGTACGCTATCATGAGATATATGAAGGATATAATTCAACACGCTCCTATGGGGACTCTTCCAAATAATGTATATATATTGTCAACCTTCTCTTCATTATTTAATATTTTCAATAATTAATATGACTTTAGTTTGTTGTTTTTGCAATTAGTACTATAACGACGCATATTGTGACACATTTACTGAGGCTCAAATGGAAGAAGTCCTTGAAGAGTTAGGACGTGGCATTTTTCAAGCATGGTTTAGCTATAACAACCAGCAACAGTGAATGAATAGATGATGTTGGTATATATTTAAAGTTGACATACATATAGTTATACCTACTTAGTCTATTTTTTGATATATGAAGCTTTATTTTGGCCACTTATAGGTTTAATTTAAGCTAGTTAAAATTTTACATAGCTTATGTAGTAATGCACCATGTAAATTTCATCATTTTATGTATAGGATAATATTGTTGGTTGTCAAAATTTTGTTATGGGTATGCTGGATATTGTATTTGTAAATGTTTAATGCAGGGGATTGTTAGAAATGTAAAACATGTATATGAAAAAAGTAACCCAAAATATTCAACGGTTATATATAAAAACT